ACAGGAACTTTGATTGCATAAGCGCCTGGGTTTAAGGCAATTTGTCATAGCAACCTAAAGTCAGACACTCTGGCTGCTTTGCAACCGTCTTGTCTGGTTCGGAGCCGGCGTGGCAGCTGTGGCTGAGGACGGTTCCCTCAGTGGCACACAGGGCGGCCAGCTCCGCCTGGCACCTGCCGCCGGCCCACTACCACAGTCCGAGGGTGCCTGGAGCCAGGCCTCGTCCTGGTCTTCCCGTGCACACGCCTGGGTTGCCCTGCGGGTCCTCATACCATGGCAACTGCATGTCAACAGAACCAAGAGGAACTTCTGTTCACCAAGCTTTTTTCCTTTTTTCCAAAAATTTATTTTTCTTGGAAAGGCAGATGCATAGAAAGAAGGAAGATCTTCATCCACTGATTCGCTCCCCACGTGGCTACAACAGCCAGAGCTGAGCTGATCCGAAGCCAGGAGCCAAGAGTTTCTTCTGGGTTTCCCATGTGGGTGCAGGGACCCAATGCCTTGGACTGTCCTCCACTGCCCTTCCAGGCCACAAGCTGGGGAGTGGATGTGAAGTGGAGCTGCAGGGATTAGAACCAGCGCCCTTATGGGATCCCAGCATATACAAGGTGAGGATTTAGCCACTAGGCTACCATGCCTGGCTCCTCTTCTTTTTTTCTTGACAATGTATTTATTTATTTATTTGAAAGGCAGAATTAAAGGAGAGAAAATTCTTCCATCAGCTGGTTCACAGCCCAAATGGCTGCAAGGACTAAGGGCTGGGCCAGATCAAAACCAGAACCCAGGCGTTTGAGGTCTTGGGCCTTCCTCTGCTGCTTTCCCAGGCCATAAACAGTGAGCTGGACCAGAAGAGGAAAAGCTGGGACTAGAACCGGCTCTTAGATGGGATGGAAACACTGAAGGCAGAGACTCAGCCTACTATCCCATTGCGCTGGTGCCAAAACACAGCCTTTGTTGTTGTTGTTGTTGTTGTTGTTTTTTAAATAATGATTACATGGTTGGTCAGGATGGGAAGGACTGAGGTTTAGGGAAAATTGGGTGAACTCATTGTTTCCAAATTTGCTATTTCTTCTTGTTGTTTCTGGGGGAAGGGGAGAGACAAAGGGGGAAACCACACATGACTTTCCAAATGTCCCAGTACCCAGGGATGAGGAACTGCCACCTCATATCAACCCAGGGTCCCAGTGTGTATATTCTAAGGGTTCTGCCCAAGTGGCTTGGCTAGTTCTGAAATGCTATCCGTATCACCAATCCAAGGACGCCGCAGCCCGCCATGTCCACTGGCTGCCATAGTCAACCTCAAGTCTGCAGTCACTGAAAATTTCTGCTGTCATCATTTGGCTGGGGTAGTTGTCACGTTTGTTCTTTCCTTTTTGCTTATTTTTTATTTTATTTTTAAAAATTGTATAAATTTTATTTTTGATAATTTTTACATATTTGATTAGGGTCAAGGGCTAGAGGAAAGTGGGTAAGACAATTGTTCTCACATTCTCTTGAATACATCTGTTTTAAGATAAAATGGTGTGGGGCTTGGAGCAATGGCTTAGTGGCTAAATCCTCACCTTATATGTACCCGGATCCCATATGGGCTATGGCTATGTAACAGTTCATATCCTGGCAGCTCCATTTCCCATCCAGCTCCCTGCTTGTGGCCTGGGAAAGCAGTCAAGGATGGCCCAAAGCCTTGGGATCCTGCACCCACGTGGGAGACCCAGAAACTGCTGGCTCCTGGCTTTGGATTGACTCAGCGCAACCATTGAGACCCCTTGGGGAGTGGAATAGTGGATGGGAGATCTTTCTCTGTTTCTCCATAAACCTGCCTTTCCAATAAAAATCATAGAGAGAAAGAAAACTTATAGCTGAGGCTGTGGTGTAAGGATCTTCCACCTGCAATGCTGGAATCCCAAAGGGCACTGGTTCGAGTTTCAGCTGCTCCACTTCTGATCCAGTTCCTTGCAGGGAGCCATTGCGGTCATTTTAGTGAGTGAACCAGCAGATGGAAGATCTTTCTCTGTCTCTCCCCTCTCTGTGCAACTCTTTCAAATCAAAAGAAATCTTGATTGCCTGATGCAATGTCCTACCGAGGCCATAGCTTCCACCTGCTAGTTCACTCCGCAGAGGCTGTAGCCCAGATGCGTGGCTTCTGTCCAGGTCTCCCAGGAGGGTGGCTGGGATCCAGCCCCTTGGGCCATCCCCCTGCTGCCCCCTCAGGGTACACCCGAGCAGGGAGCTGGACTAGGGAGCAGACGTGGGCACGGAACCTTTGCACTGTGACTCCAGCCTGCGGCGGCTTCACTGCTGAGTCCAGTTCTGCCCGGAGCTGGTTATGGCCACTCAGCACCTGCTAGCCCCTCGGGGAAGGAGTTCCTGACCCACCCCAGCCCTGCACTCCGCCCTGGCTGCCTTTTGCAACGAACTCCCACGGCCACCAGGGGGCGCGGCGGGCTGGCGTCCACGCAGCGAGGGTGGAGGCTTGGCGAGGGGGCCGAACTTCTCCAAGTGCAGAGGGAAAATCGAGGGTCCTTTGGGGGAGGCGGCTGCCACGTGGTGAGCCCCAGGCGTGTTGTGGGGGGCACTGTGACTGCCCGCAGCTAGGGGCCGGGCCTGGGGGACGCCCCTGAAGGGCCCAGGGCCTCCAGGGACACAAGGAAGGGACACAAGCTGGAATGGTGGCTGCTGGGGGGAGGAGGAAGAAGTGAGCTGGAAACGGGACATTGCAGGCCTGTGCCGCTGGCCTCCCAGGGGACATTTTTGTGTGGTTGCTTGAAAGGCAGTCAGAGACGTTTGTCATCTGCTGGGTCTCAAGCCAAACGCCCACCATAGCGAGAGCCACGCCAGGTTCAAGGCTGGAACCCAGATCTGTGGCAGGTCCTCAGCGTGGGTGGCAGGGACCCAAGTCCTTGAGCCACAGGGCGTGTGACAGCAGGAAGTGGGACTCGGAAGTGAGCCAGGGCTCCAGTCCAGACACTTGAAAATGGAACGTGCTCTTCCCAAGCAATCTTTTTAAATTTCTTCTCCAAAATTAATTTAATTTGAAAGAGTTACAGAGAAAAAAAAAAAAGAGAAAGACCCCTCTAGCCACTGATTCACTCCCCAAATGACCACAATGAGCAGTACTGGGCTAGTCTGAAGCCAAGAGCTAGGAGCTTCTTCATGCAGGTGCAGGGTCCCAGGTCTTGGGCCTCCTCTGCTGCTTTCCCAGCCCACAAGCGGGGAGCTGGGTGGGAAGTGGAGCAGCTGGGATTCAAAGGCCCCACGGAGGGACCCTGCACACGAAACATTCACAGCCTAAGACCCTGGGCCGTGAGCCTGATGCTGCTCCCACAGGGACAAGGAACGGGAACCAGACCCTATGGGAGGGCAGTGCAGGGTTTCCCCGGCTGGTGGGGTGTCAGAGCTGTGGGTGTGTGTGAAGGTGCCAGCGGGGGGCGGATCCTTCATTCACTGCGCTCATTGCATGTGGTGGTCTGCAAAGTTCATGTAAAGGCACTTAATGAAAAGCTGCATTAAAAAAAAAAAAAAAACGGGCCCGGCGCGGTGGCGCAAGTGGTTAAAGCCCTCGCCTTGCACACCCGGGATCCCCTATGGGACCGGTTCTGGTCCTGGCAGCCCCGCTTCCCTTCCAGCTCCCTGCCTGTGGCCTGGGAAAGCAGTCAAGGACGGCCCAAGGCTTTGGGACCCTGCACCCGCGTGGGAGACCCAGAAGAGGCTCCTGGCTTCGGATCGGCATAGTATCGGCCCGTTGCGGCTCACTTGGGGAGTGAATCATCGGACGGAAGATCTTCCTCTCTGTCTCTCCTCTCTGTATATCCGCCTTTCCAATAAAAATAATAATAATAATAAAAAAACCTTTAAAGTTACTGTATTCACTTATTAAAAGGCAGAGCCACAGAGATTTTTCACCCACTGGCTCACTCCCCAAATGACTGCAACGCTCAGGGCTGGGCCAGGCCAAAATCTAGAGTCTAGAACTCTGGGTCACCCGTGTGGCTGTGGGGACCCAAGATCTTGGGCTACCTTCTGCTGCTTCCCCAGCCACGTGATCAAGAAGCTGGATGGAGAGTGGAGCCGCCGGGACTCGAACCAGGTACTCTGATACGGGAGGTACTCCAAGTACTCCAAGCAGAAATCTAACCACCGCACCACACTGTCTCCCCCTGTATAATTTTTGCACACGTGCCACATACACACAAACCCTTATCTTTTAATTCCATATTTCCACAAACTTTATTTGTTTGGAAGGCAGAGAGGAGAGATATATCTATCCACTGGTTCACATCCCACAGGCTCACCCAGCTGCTGGGGGGTGGAGCACAAGTCAGGAGCTGACAACCCCAGCCAGGTCTTCCCTGTTGAAGGGCGGGGACCTCCCAGGGTGCACGAAAGCAGGCAGCTGGATCCGGGAGTGTGGCCAGGACAGGACAGGCCCGCTGCTACGGGCATCCCAGTGCGTGCCCCTGCACACCCGTTAGGAGCGCATGGCAGGGAAGGGCCGGCTCCGAGGTCTGTGCTGCCACCTGCGGGTGGCACACACCAGGGTACTGCGGACCCTCCTGTCTTTCTCTTCCTGTTGGACCATCTGGAATGGGAACCCATGCTCCAGGCGTTCTAGGATGGCCACAGGGTCCCCACTTGGAACACTGGAATTGAGACCACAGCTCTGCCCCACCCCCCCCAACTTCACATAACTGGGTCACCCAGGTCTGCTGGCAGAATACAGAGGAGCTAGTTTCATTTTCTTGAGTGAACAGCTGCCGCTACCTGTTCCCTGGGCCCAGTCACTCTCCCTGGGAATCTTCAGAGTGGCAGGGGGTGAGGGTGGGGGGTGTGGAGACCCAGGGGGGAAGGCTTAATCTCATGGGTCCTGACTCACCCATGGGCCAGGGCAAGGGCAGGAGCTGACGCTGTCCACCCTCATTGGCAGACAGCCCCGCCAATATCTGCTGTTCTCCCTAGCTCAGCCCCCGTGTCAAACCCCCACCTACACACGAGGTAGTCCCTTCACACCCACACGTCTATGCATCCTGGAAGACCACACCTAACTTCTACCACCCCTCTGACCTGGGCACAGAGCCATCATCTGGAATTCAGCCGCTACCCCCCACAACCCAGGAAGGACACTTGGCTGCCAGGAGCTGTTTCTGTTCATCTTTGTGGTCCCTGCACCTCTGGCTGTGCCAAGCATCCAGAAAGTGCCCAGGCCTCTCTACGGAGTGGATCTATGGGGCCACGTGTGTGTGAAGGTGACAAGGGCCACCCTGGGGCCAGGATTGTCCTCCTGGCCCAGGGGGTCATTCCCACAGGGGCCAGGGGACAGGAAGTGAGCCAGTGGCCCAGGACTGCAGATCTCTTCTCAGGCCTGGGAGGAGGGCCAGCTGTGGGGGCTGGGACACAGCAGGAGGGGGGCAGGGAAGCCAGCGGTAACCAGGGAGAGGAGACACAGCCACTTGGTGTTATTGTTACAGAACCATGGAGTACAACTTTGGAAACAGGGTGGCGGTGACACAGAGGGGGTGGCGGAGGCAGGCCGGGGTCAGGGGGGCGCAGTCGGGGCGCGGTCCTGCAGGGGGCGTGGGCTGCCTTCATCAGAGGGGCTGGGCTGGCGGAGACCCGGCTGCTTGTGGAGGCCTCGCAGCTTGGTCAGCAGCTCTTGGACGAAGTCCTGAGGGCAGGGAGTGGGGTGCTAAGAATGTGGGTGGGGGCTCTACCCTGGGCCCACTCTAGCACCCCCACATACCCCGCCAAGAGTCAAGGGGGCCCCTTCTGCTTCCAGGGCAGCAAGGGAAGGGCAGACACGGAGAAGGGACAGACAAGGGAGAGAGACACAGAGAGCCAGGGACACGGAGTCCGGGCCTCGGCCCACGTCAGACCCAGGAGGGTCCCCAGAGACATGGGCCCGAGGCGGCTGCAGGGCAGCCGGACACCCAGTGACGCTGGACCCCAGCAGCCCGATGGAGAAACACGAATATTTTTCCCTTTTAAAGCAGGGAAGGAAGTGGGAGGGTTAGGCGCCTGGGCTTCGGGACCTGTAAGACTGGGGGCCCCTGGGGTGGCGGGGGCAGTGACAGGCAGCAGGGAGGCAGGGAGACAGAAACCCGAGCCAGATGGGGGAGGGAGCGGAGATAATGGAGCCCCCGCAGCAGATGGGCAGGGAGGAGGGGAGAGCTGGGCATAGGAGAAAGCGCCAGCAGGCGGTGGGGGAGCGGTCCATGGGAGGCAGGGGCACCTCTGATGGGGGGACTCACCTCTGTGGGGTTCGTGCACGATTTCAGGAGTCCCTAAACACGCCCCCCCCCCAAAAAAAAACCACAGTAAATAATTCACACTGAATCCTCTCCACCCCTTCCCTTTCCAAGGCAAGAAGGCAAATGCAAGTCAGACTCCAGGGTGGACTGCCACCAGGCTTCAAGGGGAGGAACAGTCTGGGGGCCTAGGGGGTGGGGGTAGGGCAAGAAGGTCACAGCCTTCTCCAGCTCCAGGACAGCAAGGACCTGAGGGCTCCGTCCTTGGGGCTGTGTGACCCCGGGCAAGCAACCCCAGGCAGCCCTCTCTGCGCCCCCATTCCTTTTGCAGAAGACAGTAACCTGCACCCTGAGGTGAGGGATGGAGAGTTGGCACTGGGCAGGTGAGCTGCTGTATGGCACCTGGCAAGCGTTCAGGGAATGTGGAAACTGCTGTTGCTGCTGCTTTTAGGGGGGTGCCAAGTGTCAGACTGGGGGGGCTTCACACACACACACACATGCACGCACACACGCACACACACACACACGCACAACCTACCTGGACCTTCCGGCTCCTCTCCTCCTCACTGTCCAGTTCCAGCAGCTCATCGATGTTTACCTCGTCAGGCATGTCCGCCTCCTAAGGAGAAGGGGGGAGTGTCAGGTCCTCTGTCTCCCTCCTTCCCTGGCCTTCGTCCCAGGCGGCTCTCTCTCTCTCTGCAGCCCCAGGCCCCAGCTGGCGGGCCCTGGAGCCATCATGTGGCAGTCAGGGACAGCACCGCCAAGACAGGACATCTGGGGGCTGGGGGAAGGGTGGCAGATGGGAGGACGGCAGCCCGGGGCGGGCGGGGGGGTGCAGCAGCAGCCCGATGGCTGGGCCCCTCTGAGTCCTAGGAGCCCCCTTCCTCCTGCCCGTGTCCCAGACACCTGCCCCCATGGCTGGCACGGGTCTCTCTCCTTGGCTCCAGCTCCCCCCCAGGAAAAAAACAGGCCCCATCGAGTCCTGGAATGTGGAATTCTGGGATTCAGGAGAGGGGCCCTGGCTCGTGTCCTTTCAAGGCAGTTTCCTCTCGGTGTTGCTAGGTGCGGGGGAGGGGAGCGGCCAGGCTGGAGCTGGTGGGGGCAGGGCCTCTGCCCCCAGGAGACAGGAAGGGCGGGGGACACTGGGGCCAGCCAGGGCCAAAGGGCAAACCCCTCAGGCCCAGAGGGGGGGACTGCGAGGGAGAAAAGCCCCAAGGATGGCTGGCTCAGCCCGCCTGCCAGCGACAGGACCCAGCTGGCCCCAGCTGCCCGCCCCCCAGTGGCTGCAGGCTTGGAGCGGAGGAGGGGTGGGTCCGTGGTGTCCCAGAAGGCTAGGAATGTCGTGTCACGGGGCCGCCAGAGCCTTGGGTGGCTTCCTACAGGGTATGTGCCTAACGGGGTCCTGGCCCACCCCCCAGGATGACCCCACACTGTGCAGCAGACCCCTAGCAACAGAGTTAGTGCCCCTGGAGGTGGGCAGCACGCACAGAACGTGGTGGCGCTAAGAGGGCCTGGCTTCCATGCCACCCGTGGCGGCACTGTCGGGTGAGCACGGGCCGTGGGGCCCTTGGCTGTGTTCCAAGGCCTGTGAACTGTGACCAAGGTAACCCGACCATTCACCGTCCAACGGGACTTTGAAAGCTTCAGAGCATGTCGTGGGCCATTGGGAAAAAAGCGGTTTCCTAAAGAATCCTTTAATTCCGTGTTTTCCAGGAGCTCTTGCGTGGCTGCGGGACTAGGGCCTGGGAGTGTCTGACCCTGATCCATGTCCCTGTGCACTTGGGGGTCTGGTCTGCAGCCATGATGCCCGTTCTGTGCCTCTGCCGGCATGGCTGTGCGTGGCTAGGGGGTCATGGTTGGTCACCGCAGGAGGCATTTGGGGTCGCACCGGGGGGTAGCTTGGGTATATTCTGTGTGGCTACTGCCTGCCTCACCCTGTCTCTATGGACAGCCTGGGAGTGAGGGGTGTGTGTGTATCAGGGGGTAGTTGTTGTGTTGTGCACAGCTGCAAGGACCGACTCAGATGGGACCCCCGCTGGCGGGCTGCTGCATAGCCCCTTACCGCTGTGCCTCTCCTTGTGGCTTCCTGGGCTGTGCATCTGCGTGTGGCTGGCCACGGGCATGTATGGTCCCTGTCCCAAGTCCCTTTGGCTTCCAGACTCCCCTCCCCCACCCTTTCTCTTCCTCCTGTGGCCTGGGGGAGGGGTGGGGGTAGGGCGAGAAGGTCACACAACCTTCTCCAACTCCAGAAGAGCAAGGACGTGAGGTCCAGGCTGCCGGTCAACAACCTCCTGTGGCTTTGACCCCAACGTGGTCTCTTCACCTGCCTCGCCCCTGGAGGAAAGACTGGACACGCAAGTGTGCGCGTGGGACAAGTAAGGTGTCCCAAGCACAGTTGGCCAAGCTGAAAGACGTGGGGGTGCCCTCATAGCGCACAGCAGCCACAGTCATCCCGGGGACCCCCGGCGCGTAGGGTCTGCCCAGCCCAGATCCCCCACCTCTCATCCCAAGCCCCTCGCCCCGCCTCACCCTGCCGCGGTACAGCTCCTCCAAGCGCCCGTCGATCCACTTCTCCACGTCCAGCCGCCGCTGCAGCTCGCGCCGGTCGTACTTGACCGTGACTCGCGCGTGCCTTTTCTGCAGCCCCCCTGGGCTGCCCCCCGGCCCGCGGGCCCGCGACGGAGCCTGCAGCTTGCTCAGCACCCGCTTGCCCAGCCGCTGCGCTGCCATCCCGCCGCCTCCGCCGGCCGACCCCGCGCCGCGATGTGCGCCTGGGCGGTGCGCGCGTCCCGGGGGCCTCTGACGGACCGGGGCGGGGCCGGCCGGGGGCGGGAGCTCGGGCTGGCCCCGGGAGTGGGGATGGGGGTGGCCGGGCCCTCCGCGCACGCCCACCCCGCACGCCCACCCCGCACACCCTGGCCTCAGCTTCCCCTCCTGCAGAGTGCAGGCTGCAAGCCCTCGTGGTCCAGGTATGGGCGGGGTCCGAGAGCCGCGGCTGGGACTCCCGGGCCTGGATCTCACGGGGCGGGGGACCCGGACTGACCGGGGCCGAGCCTTGTCCACGCCCTCTGGCGGCCGCGGGGGCAGCCCCGAGGTGGAGCCGCGGTTTGCTGGTTCATTCATTCAGTCACACACGCATCCCTTTGCACCCCCCAACACCCACTCACTCCTCTCTGGTCACTCGCGGCGGTCAGCGAACCGCAGTGCACTGCACACCCCGGCCAAGCCCAGGGCTCTGCAAGTCGCCGTCTTTGCAGCAGGGACACCAAACGCAGTCCACACAGCTTACCCAAGGGTTGCGGAGGGACAGGTCTCCGGGCCTCCGTGAGAGTCAGAGGAGTCCTGACTGCTCCACTTCCCAGCCAGCTCCCTGCTAAGCCCCTGAAAAGGCAGCGAAGGGTGGTTCAGGTACCTGGGCCCCTGGTCCTACGTGGGAGACCCGGAAGAAGCTTCCGCCTTTGGCTTTGGCCTGACCCTGCCAGCCCTGGGGAAGGAACCAAGCCATGGAAGCTCTCTCGCTCCTACTCTCTCTCTGACTCTACCTTGCAAATAAATAAATACATGGTTTGTAAGAAGTGAAGGGACAATCTAGTTGGATGGGAGAAAAAAAAAATTGCAAATACCAGGTCTGGTGCGGTGGGCTAGCAGCTAAAGTCTTTGCCATGCACGCCAGGATCCCATAAGGGAGCCAGTTCTAATCCCAGCAGCCCTGCTTCCCATCCAGCTCCCTGCTTGTGGCCTGGGAAAGCAGTGGAGGTCAGCCCAAAGCCTTGGGACCCTGCACCCACGTGGGAGACCAGGAAGAGCTCCTGGCTCCTGGCTTCAGATAGATGCAGCTCCAGCCGTTGCAGTCACTTGGGGAGTAAATCATCGTATGGAAAATTTTCCTCTCTGTCTCTCCTCCTTTCTGAATATCTACCTTTTCAATTAAATAAATAAATCTAAAAAAAAAAAAAACCCTCCAAAGAGACATTTGTGTAAGACAAAGACAGACGCATGACGGGCTAGCGTGAGCTGTACGCGAGGAGTGGGACTCAAAATCATGGGATAGCAAGTTCCACCCAGCTGGGCAGACAGTGATTTAAAACAGCAATAATGCCCACTGCCCTGAGACTGAAGGCTCTGCTGTTTGGTTTAGCAACGCTGTGTCCAGCACGGCCGCTCCCCCCATTACTCCCTTCGTGTCCATAGGCCCCCTGTCAGGACGGCACTGGTACCCAACGTCATATCAGAAATGGTCCCACAGTTGTCACCTGTCTCTGGACACCCTATTTCATGTCACAGCTCTCATGCCCAGCCCGCCTCTGGTTTACCTGTGACAGTTGCTGTGCCTAATGGTGACTATAGTGTCTTTGGGGTCTGTTTTATTATTCGTGTACCCTAGTCGGGTGACAAGAGAGCTATGGGCACCTTGGAGATGGGTAAAAAGGTGGTGAGAATTTGATAAAAACGGACTGGAAAGTGGCCTTAGCCTTCATTTTATGAGAGTTGGCAGTCCTCCAAAGTGCCAGTGATAAAAGCACCCACCCACTGTGGGAGGACACCGGTAGTTGGTCTGCTTTCTAAACAATGGATCTAACGCCAAGGGGTGCCACCTTTCAACTGTAACCTTAGAGATGGGTAGGACAGCGTCCCCAGCAAACAGTGTGTTTAGAGCCCTTGCTGCTGGTGCCTAGGGCACAATGAGGAATCCTGGCTGTAGGAATTGAAGGGAGCAGCCCAGGACTGGGGCCCTGGACTGGGGCCAGGCCTGTCGTGGCTGGGGAGTGTGCACCAAGGCCTCCCAGCCTGCCGTCTGCGCTCAGTCCAGGCTGCAGCCTCGTTACAAGCTTGACTGGGGAAAAATTTCCTCTGTTTGCAATTGTAGGAATGAGGCTTTCTTTCTTTGTGGTTATTATTATTTTTTTCAAATCAATCAATCATGACAAATAAAAAAAGTATGATTGGACCCAGTGCGGTGGCCTAGTGGCTAAATTCTCTCCTTGCATGTGCTGGCATCCTATATGGGCATCGGTTTCTATCCTGGCTGCTTCATTTCCTGTTCAGCTCGCTGCCTGTGGCCTGGGAAAGCAATAGAGGATGACCCCAAACCCTGGGACCCTGCACCCGCGAGGGAGACCCAGAAGAAGATCCTGGCTCCTGGCTTCAGATCAGCTCAGCTCTGGCAGTTGTGTTCGTTTGGAGAGTGAGCCAGTGGACGGAAGATCTTTCTTGATGCCTCTTCTTCTCTGTGTAACTTTGACTTTCCAATAAAAATAAATAAATCTTTTTTTTTTTTTAAAGCATTATCGATTTGAAAGGCAAGAGTAACAGAAAAAGTAGGAGAGACACGGAAAGGGGAACTTGGGTACCACTGGCTCATTCCCCAAATGGTTGACAATAGCCAGGACTGGGTCAGGCCAGGGAGCTTATAGTCTACACAAAAGGAGGACCGGCCACCACCAGACCTTAAGGAGTCAGTTATTTCCTATTGTTCATTCTTCCTGCCCCACCTTCTGAGGAGTCACTCTGGAATGATCAATCATGTTTGGTTACTTTGTTTCTGCTCTGTCAGTCACTGTTCAGCCCACTGGAGTACTTGGGCTAATTCGGGCAATAAAGTCTGACTGTAGAAGTAGAAACAAAGCCCATTAAGCAAGCAAATCCTCCACCTGCAAGGCTGGCATCCCACCTGGGAGCCAGTTCAAGTCCTAGCTGCTCCAGTTCCAATCCAGCTTCCTGCTTATGGACTGGGATAACAGTGGAGGATGGTCCAAGTTCTTAGGCACCTGCACCTACATGGGAGACCTGCAAGAAGCTCCTGGTTTCAGATCAGCGTAGCTCTCTGGGGAGTGAATCAGTGGATAGAAGATCTCTCTGTCTTTTTGTCTCTGTAAATGTGCTTAGGGGGAGGGGATGGGGCCAGGGGACGCTTCAGCCCAGGGGGCTATTTGTCTTTAGTCTCTTAGTCTCTTGACCTTGCAGGACCCCACTGCAGTACAAGAGTCCAGCTGTTCAATGTGAACACACTGCTGTGATAGGTAGCTTTAGGCAGAGGGAGGCTGCGCCAAGGGAGTGGCCTGGGATCCCGAACACTCCAGGCTGTCTCCAACTCTCTTGGGACCTTTCTCTGTGTGTGTGTGTGTGTGTGTGTGTGTGTGTGTGTGTGATTACTGGCTGCCCGGCCCCTCCCGTGCTGTCAGAGCCTGCTTTATTGTCAGGCTCAAGGAAGCTGGGATCTTCCATCACAGCTCCTAGCGAGGTTTCCTCACTGCATGATTAAATGGGCTTGTTTTCTTTCTCTTTTATTATTTTCAAACTAAAGTGATTTTAAAAAAATTATCTATTTTTATTGCAAAGTCAGATATATACATAGAGGAGGAGAGACAGAGAGGAAGATCTTTCATCTGATGATTCACTCCCCAAGTAACCGCAACGGCCTGAGCTGTGCCAATCCAAAGCGAGGAACCAGCAGCCTCTTCTGGATCTCCCATGCAGGTTCAGGGTCCCAGGCCCTGGGCCATCTTAGACGGCTTTCCCAGGCCACAAGCAGGGAGCTGGATGGGAACTGGAGCTGTTGGGATTAGAACCGGTCCCCTCTGGGATCCTGGCGTGATCAAGGGGAGGACTTCAGCCACTAGGCTACCGCACCTGGCCCTCCTTTTTTTTTTAAGTTGCATTTCAGTTAAAAGGCAGAGATGTTCTGCCCAACGGTTCATTCCCTAAATGCCTGAAACATTCTGGGCTGAGCTGGGTTGGAGCCAGGAGCTTGGAGCTGGGCAGGGACCCAAGTACTTGAGCCATCTCCTGTCCCCACCCTCCTCCCACCCCGGAGTGCATCTGCAGAAAGCTGGGAGAGACTCAACAACTCAGCCACCTCATGTGGGAAGCCAAAGTGACCCCACACGCCAGCCTGTTCCGTGTTTTCAATAATAATGCATTCTATCTTTCTCTTTTTTAAAAGATTTATTTATTTATTTGAAAGGCAGAGTTACAGAGGGTGAGAGAGGGAGACAGCTGTTCCATCTGTTCCTTCATTTCCTAAATGGCCACACCAACCAGGCCTGGGCTCAGCGGGTCGTACTGTGCTGCTCTCGCAGGTGCAGGAGCAGGTGGAGTAGCTGGGACTGGAAATGGGGCTCCTTTGTCAGGGTCAAAGGTGCAGCAGCTCGACCCCCCGTGGCACAGCGCGGGTCGCACTGAATGCAGTATTGAATCATCTTGTTGACTGTCTCCACTTTCGCTGGAGAAATGAGCTCCTGCTGGCTCTAGCTGGTAGGCACCTGGCGTCCCCAACCCGGTCAGGCTCGGTCAGGGGCGGGGCCAGCCAAAGCCACGCCCCGGGGGCGGGCCCAGGTGCGCCGTGGGCGGGGCCGCGTCCGCGCAGGTACCCGTGCGCTGCGCCTGCGCCCTGCACGCCCCGCCTCGCCAGGTGCGCCCCGCCCCCCGCCTGGCCGGCCACCTTCTCGCGTCTTCCAGCCGTCCGCCATTGGCTTTGGTGACTCCCGGGATTGTTTAAGGGTGCGGCACGGCTCGGGCCTGTAACGAGTCTTCGAGAGTCGCTGAGGGGTGAGGGGCGCCAGCGGGCGAGCGAGGAGCGGGCCCGAAACGCCTCGCGGCATTTTCAGGACCGAAACTTGGAGAAAGGGCCTTCCCCGAGGCCCGGCGACACCCCGCGGACCCTCGACTGAGGGCGGGCGTCCCTCCCAGTGCGCGTGCGCGGGCAGGGTCTTCCCGCACCTGATCGCGAG